TCCATTGTAAATTGAATTTTTTAGCTCAATTTTTACACAGTTTAAAAATAGCATTAAGATTTTGTCAAAAGAAATGATATAGTAGTGTCTGTAGTTTACCCGAGTTGTAGATTTGAGTGAAAAAATATTAACGGTTTGAAATATTACTTATTTACAAAGTATTTCAACTACGGTCCCACACTTCGATGCTAACAACAGCGTTGGTCACAATTGGACTTTAAAAAACCCTGTTCAAATCAAAACCTACATGTTAGCGCCATCTGTTTCGTCGTTAATTCAAAAGAAATAATATGTTTCCAGAATGGCCATTGAAAACATTGTTTAATGACATGTGACGCAAGTCAAACGTTGCGAACAATACGAAGTGATTCAGACGTACCGAATAAAATTACTCAGATCGTAAAATATTCTATTGTTTAAGGAAAAACATATAGTTGTGACTGATTACTGATAAAAGAGGAAATTCTCTGGAGAAAAAAACAATATCTTGAAGCATTAGAACGATATCTTGAGATAGAGCTAAAGTAGCGAATTTATTTATTTATTTATTTATTTGGTTTCCATACAACATATATGTGTTTTACATACTTATAAATAATGCAGAACAATAATTTATACATATATGTCAATTACACAGAAACACATTGCAAATACGGTTAAATAGGCACACAATTAAAACTATAATTCTAACCAATATATAACTATAATACTAATCACTACTAAAATAACAAACATAAAGATGTGAAATGAACAAACTAGAGACAGAACGTGAACTAAGACTTACCTAATGCCTGTCGCACTAGAACACGAAATCTGTACAGGCTGTTGTGAAATATGTCTATATCTATATCATTTTTAGATATTGTATTGTATGATCTAACCATTCTATTAATCGGGGAATTGGCAGAAGTCGCAAGGCGGGGCGTTGGAGAGTAAAAGAGGCAATTGTTTCTAGTAACCTTGAGCGCGCAGTGAAAAGAAAAATTTGAAAGTAGCTCAGTATGAGTTATGTAATTTAATATTTTGTACATGAATATCAAATCAATGTATTTTCTACGCCTTTCAAGAGAATCCAAATTGAAATATTTTAGACGACTGTCATACGTGCGAAGAGAATTTCGCAGACGATAACGATTACATAACATTCTCAAGAAGCGTTTCTGGGTAGATTCAACTGCATCAATATGTACTTTATAAAAAGGTGACCAAACTACACTGTTATATTCGAGAATACTACGGGCCAAAGATTTGTATAAGACTATCACACTATTTACGTTATTAAATGTTTTTGTCGTTCGTAAAATAAATCCAAGTATTTGATTTGATTTTTTTACAACATGATCAATATGTTCAATAAAAGATAATTTACTATCAAAGATAACACCTAGGTCCCTTATAGAGGTCTTACGTGTTAGAGATATATCTGAGATTCTATATGAGTAATCAATTATATTTAAATTATTTGTAAAAGTAACTACATGACATTTATTAACGTTAAGTTTCATTAAATTACAACGGCACCAGGAATCAAGAATATAAAGATCATTTTGAAGAGTAATACAGTCGGAAATACTTCTAATTCTTCTGAATAATTTTAAGTCATCAGCGTAGAAAATATATTTGGTATTTAAATTGAAATTTAAGGGTGAGTCATTTATAAAGAGGGCAAACAATAAAGGCCCTAGGTGCGATCCCTGAGGGACCCCAGAGGGAACTAAAATTGCTTTAGAAAGACATCCATTAATAGCTACAATTTGCGAGCGATTTTTTAGGTAAGACGTTAACCAACGTAGTAAATTTCCATGAATACCGCAGGAAAGAAGCTTCTTCAGAAGTATGTCATGGTTGACTTTGTCAAATGCCTTCTGGAAGTCAGTATAGATGACATCTACCTGACCTCTATCATCAATGACATTAAATAGAACATTAATATATTCAGTTAAATTTGTTGTAGTAGATTTGTGCGATACAAAACCATGTTGAGCAGGAAGTAAAAACTGATTAATGTGAGTGTAAAGTTTTCCAAAAATAGCGCGTTCAAAAATTTTCGCAAAACAATTTAGAATACATATTGGCCTATAATTGCAGACGTTTGCTTTGTCACCAGATTTATGTATCGGTACAACATGCGCAGTTTTCCACAAGTCGGGAAAAATTCCTGACGTCAATGATTTGTTAAAGATTATTGTCAAAGGCTCGGCTAGGACGTCACTGCACGACCTCACAAAGTACGACGGGATGCCATCGGGACCAGCACCTTTATTAGGATTAATTCCTTTTAAAATCTTATATACTTCATCTACATCAATACGCACACTACCAAGGCAATTAAAGTGTTGGTCTGAATTATAATTAACGTTTGATGCAGAAGAATTACCAAACTCATATACAGTTTGAAAATAATCCGCAAACACTTGACAAATATCTTCTCCATCTGTGGCAGTGACGTCATTAAAATAAACAGAAGGTGGAATAGAGGAGTTTAAATTTTTGTTTTTAACAAAATTCCAAAATAATTTAGAATTGCCTTTCAATGTCCCTTTCTCTTCAAAGGACTTTCTAATCTGTCGTTGCTTTTGCTGTTTGTATTTTAAATAGATGTATATTTCTTCGCGATCTTTAATAAGGAGAAATAATGAGAATTAAAGCTGGGTCTCCGAGCTGATGGCCGTCCTATCAAACAACGAGCTGTGTCAGCGACTTCGAGCGCGTTGAATAGTTATTTTTGGGCATCCAAATTTCTTTTTACAAACTGCCTTTTCATCATTATAAATGAAGCTGTTACTTATCCACGACGTCAGTGCAGTCCTGTTGTTCTTGCAAGTTACTCTTAAAAGATAGACATATAGTTTTAGCGACATTTTCTAGATCATTTAAAGAGTAATCATTCTTGTATACATATTTGGGTATCTTGAACCGACTTCGCAGCGTACGCAACGGAAACCTGTAAATCACAGCGCGATGTTTGATGTTTAGCCTTCCTCAATAAATGCTCTAACTAAAACGAAACTATTTTTTCAATTTGAAACAGTAGTTCGTGAGATTAGTGCGTGCAAACAAAACAAACTCTTCAGCTTTATATATTAGTATAGATTTCGCAATTACGAAACAGATCTGAAACCCAAATAGTTAAATAAAATGGTCGCCAGAACACGCCCACGTACTGTTTTCTGCAAACTGGCATATTGTTACGAAGAATCTTGTTATTTTCTTCAATTCAGAATCTATTTTATATTAATAGGAAATCCGTATTTTAAATAGGACAATTTTGATAGTATTCAGCGCACAGAAACAATACATAACAATTAGTTTCGCTTTATTGAGTGTTGAACCATTGAGACCTATATAAGGCGCCAACCTAGAGATTATACTTATCATTTTATATCAGAACATTCTAGACGCTATTGTTTAAGAACTAAGATTACTCTTAGTCTCGACAATACGATAAATTCAATTTTATCTTAGCTCAATGTTTTTGCAATATCATAACGCGTGACATTTTATACATACATAGATTTACCTGCAGCTTCTTTTTTCAGATTCTATGCACATAATACAAAAACAAATTTCTGTTTAATAAGAAAATTGTCACCACTGCCTGACGTACTTTTTTGACAGATATATTAGACAAGCAGGGGGGTTACATGGTGTAAGTTATACCATCCAAAACATCCAAACAAGATGCGCTGTTGATCTTTACGATTTTAACTTTGGAACATTCGGACATCCAAGGATCCAAACCTAAACGCGAATAAACTTCGCTGTTTTTTAATCTGACAATTATTCGTGAATCGCACCACCGACATTATGGTATTTCTGACACCTATTTCATATCCAGATTTTCCAAACGGAGTTCAACATATTTCAGAAAAATTAGATTCACGGAGGACCTGGTGGGTATTACACCCAACAATATACAAGATTAGGACCTAAACGTTCAGGAATTTGCAACCAACGACATTATACCGTTGTCAAAGGCTTGTCATTATTTATTTCACACATTACGATTCACATCGCGCCCAATTTTAACGACCTTCGTTCAAGACGAGCCATGGTTATTCAGACCTTACCGCGCCTTCGTCTCCATCCGCTATATAAAATGACGTCATTAAACTCGATACTGTTAGTAAGTCCTATATTTATATCCCTTACATTTTGCTATGCTCTACAAAAATCGAATCATGGGCTAGAGCCAAGTTACCACTTAAAGAACGATAACATTTAAAAATAAAATGTATTAAAAATAAATCCTGCAATAATAAACGAAAAATTATCAAAATCAAAAAGTCTACCTAGAAGTTACGAGAAGAAATAATGTACAACACAAGTAACTTCTTATTTAAAATATAATAACCGAATACCTACCCAGTATTCGGGTAATTGTTATTTGAAAGGTTAAATTTCAATTCTTGGACGCGAGTTAGATTTAAGCTTGAAATCAGCTTACGAGGAAACAGCTTTAAGGTATCATTCATAATAGCTCTAGCTCTCATTATATGCTATAGGGAAAATGTATACACGTTTCATAATACAATTCATTTTATTGAACTATACTCGATACGCCTCCATTTCCTTCATATTTTACAATCTAGCCGCGGCTAAACCAGTTTGAGTTGGTACTCCCTGTGTCTTGGCCCCGTTTATTATTGTGCATTCTGATTTCTGACGCATCTAGACACGGTAAAAGTTTGCGTTCTTTATACAGCTGCTCGTTATAGCTGCATTTACAATTCGTACAAAAATTTTGAAAATCTACTTCGATCTATGTTTTTTTAAAAGATAGAAGACATTTTATTTATATACTGTAGCTAGGAATTGAAATTATTGTCTTATTTATTGATTCGAGTCGATTCAAAGACATTCAATTAAATTTACACTATCAATGTAATGTAATTTGTAAATAAGCTAACTACTTAATACATTTCGTGTGTTAAAAGTGTTTTATTGAATATACAGTTCATATAGATGAGAAGTACTAATAAAGTGGTTTATTGTTTCAGGTCCTATCAAACAAAGTCGCTGGGTGGCTGAACAAAGTCATAGAGGTGAGATGTTTTATTATATTAGCTTATTACATAATTAGGATACATTTACTTCTAAGACTATCTATAGTAGTATAGTATAGGTAGTAATATAAAAATCCGTTATAGTTGCAAACCGCCACCTACAGTCAAAAACACGGTCAAGTTTAATCGCGTTTCGGTTCGCGTTCGGACTTTGAAATATACAAAGTCAAAATAGGCCGAAAGGGAATCTCGTTGAGATCTTATACGGCTGGGGTACGTCACCTTCCATCAAGTGAATCTATCATAAAACAAAAAAATAAGTAGGCAATATAAAAATATCGTCATAGAAGCTTTCAAAGGCGTTCGAGAAAACATCACTTCGGTGCGAAGTCCTTACGAAATAGATGCTGTCGGACTTTTGCTGGTGGGCGTTTTCCAATATCCATTAATTCCCATACTGCAATTGTAATAGAGGTGACATTACAGCAAAAGACATTACGTCGGAACAAATTCCTCTGCTTGTCTCCAACTCTGCAAACATTGACATTAACGTGCGTTAAACAGCCGCGGTTGATTAACTACTTTGACCCGTAAGTTTATTGGAATAGAGTCGAATGAGGTGAACGCGGGAGATTAACAATGCCCTCATTGCAAATTATAGCATGACGCGATCTCTTGCGATATTACCTTTGTATGTTACCAAGACTACAGCCTACATGAATTCTAAGTGACATTTTTTCATCCCAGGAGTTAATGTGTATTAGAGCTAATTGGTGGCCCCTGCTGCTGCAAAAAATATCTAAAAGCACATTCTTTCTTATTTTATTCTCTGATTTCGATAGATTTTGTATGATTATTTTAATTTATAATCGATTTTTAATTTAAATATGTAGTCCTACCATGTGCAATAACATATACACAATATTTAATTTTCCAGTCTGTCCGTTGTTTACGAGAACATATTTTAATAAAACACTTTTATCGGTTTAAAACGTGAAATGTATTAGTTAACTTATTTATAATTCACAATAACTACTATCTTCAAACTATTATCAAACCTTCTTGACTTTGACATGAGGGACTCCCTCGATCTTCAGTTCCCTGGTAAACTAGGCTGCTGCAAAACATCCATAACGTCAGACCGTAGATAAAATAATTCGTTAATAAGTTAATTATATTTCGCGTTTTAAACTCTGAGTTGTTTTATATAAATTATAAAAGACTGAAAATAATTTGTACCATAAATAGGCGCCCGTATGTACACTAGCAGAACGATATGCATATTTGCACGCACTCAGCCCTCAATATTAAATCGATTGTATGTTAAGTGCCACATCTCTAACATCTGCTTTGGTTTTACTGTGCGAGTTCAAAGTATAAAGTTATGGTGTTTGGACGTAATCTTTTAATAATATTAGCGGAAATATTACCTACTCTGGAAAGATATGCCAATTTGAACTAAAGTAGATGCGACATTTAAATAAAACACTAACTGTTTAAAACGCGATATGCATATAGATGCTTTGTAGCAGCCGTGGTCACGAGGAGACTCCCCGTGACCACGGCTGATGGAAAGCATCCGAAACGTCGGGCCGAAGTTTTTTCTGTAAGCAAAAGACGATTTTTTAGAACTTCAGGTAAACAAATTTAAATTAGTTTTTTCTGTCTTGGGTCAGTACTGCTTAGTAAAATTTAACATCTATTAAACAAAAGAATAAGTTTCTTCATTGCGTTTATAGTATTCGTACTCGGTAGGTATATATATTATCACGCGGTGTAATGAGAAGTCGACAGATGCACGAAGCCCAGATAAGATTTCACTGTAACAAAGCGAACATGTGTTCTAAAACTATCATTGTAATGATAATCAGAGGCCGTTTACATTGACATATGGACGTACACGGGGGAGGTAGGGGGAGGAACACGTAGATTTTTTATTGTAAACGCAGGTGTTAGTACACCACTACTTTAAATAGCTTTAGCTAGGAGTACGTTCATGTACAAACATCAATTTATATTATAACATGTATATGTACGTAATAAGTACCTTAATAGATGAACGACTCGGGCAGGACGTAAACCGGCATCCACGGCGTCCCGTGCTGTTGCACTAACCAATAAAATATTTAAAAAAAATTTAGAATCAATTTTCGAAAAATATTAAAGTTTTTATGCAGCTGTTGTTCTATAATGCTAAATATGACATTAAATTTGTAATATTTTTGTGAGTGAGTTGAGCGTTCCACTAAATAATAATGAGTATTTTTACAATGTAAAAGGACCCTTCACGAATTAATTGCCAGTGCTTTCATAGTAGGCTTTATCTGCGCATGTTAATTGCTTTACTGTTATTTCAATGTTCAGTGTCGGTGTAACAATGCCTACATTGTTTCGTAACTGCTTTTGTCGTTTAGCGGGTCATTTAAAAACTGTACATTCCGGTAAACGATAATATTTACCAAAACCATAACTGTATTAATGGAACTTTAAATCAAAAGTATAAGGAAAAACAAAGAATACTTACGAAATTTGTATCGTTTCAGAGTTCACTACGACATGGGAGCAAGGTCCCGGGAGTTATTGCTGCTCCTGGCAGTGTGCGCGCTTGCTATTAGCGAGGCAGTCAACAAAACCACCAAGAAGGACGCAAAGGACAAGGACTCCGACAACTTCCTCTTCCAGTATGAAGACTACGATGCAGCGGACGAACAGGAAGTCCTGTTCAACGAAGACAGACCGTGCCCCAGAGATTGCATATGCACTGTATCCCAAGGCTACAGAATAGCGAAGTGCAATCGCTTGGAAGAAGGTACACAAAAGTTTGGCGATGATATAACTGATCTCGTCATTGAAAATGCGGACCCGGAATCACCCATCATATTAAGTGACTTCATATTCAAAAAGTTGGGACTGCATCAAATCGCGACTTTAAAAATCGTGAATAGTACTATTGGCTCCGTCGGACCTAACGCCTTCCACGGCCTTCATGAGCTTTACGCTGTCTATCTTTCTAATAACAAACTTAAAGCTCTCCATCCGGAGACTTTCGCTACAAACAAAAAGCTTCTATTGTTGACTGTTTCAAACAATCCGCTCAAATTCCCCGAACCCGGCACACCTGAATACTTCTTAAATGCATCTTCGGTCCAAGAACTCGACATTTCCTACTGTAACATGCAGTATATTACTGCCAATGTTATCAAGAATATGCCAGGCCTTATGTATCTTAATTTGGCGGGCAACAATTTAGCAGATATGGAAGCCGACACGTTTAAAAGCTTATTAGATCTAGAAGAATTAGACTTGAGCGATAATAACATAAAGTCTCTTCCTGAAGATATATTTTCGGAGAATACCGAATTGGCAACTCTTCACATTCAACGCAACCCTATAGACTCTGTGTATGGACTCCAAATCTCCGATTTACTTACACTTAACGCTGGTCAGACTAATATAAAATTTGTTGGACCGTCTATGTTTAACGGTATGACTTACATAGCTAACCTTAATCTTAGTGGGAACAATATCGAAAAGATTCACAATCAAGCTTTCCACAAACTCGTCGAACTGAACTATCTGGATTTGTCATACAACAACTTGGACTTTATTTCAAGTATTCTAATAAAACAAAATATAGAACTAGATATTTTCAAAATTTCCAACAATCCAAGACTAAAACATTTACCAATCGATGGTTTTCTCTGTTCAGCCGAGCAATTCAATATTTATCTCTTTGAAGCGGCCAACTGTGGTCTTGAAGAAATATTTGATGACTCCCTCAAAACGTTTACGGCCTTATCTCAAATCAATCTGTCTAAAAACAATATCAAGTCGATCAGTAACCATGTGTTTTCAAGATCTCCTAAATTAGTCGACATTAATTTAGCGCACAACCAGCTCGCAACCCTGGACGCGAAAGTGTTTGAAAATAATAAAGAATTGGGAAAATTAAATCTTCAAGGTAATCCGTTGAAAGTATTATCTGCTGAAGTATTTTTGCGTACTCCTATGCTCACATATTTAGATATGAGTCACTGTGAATTGACAGCCCTGTGGAAGACTGAAAAGAACCACTCCGCCAACCTTCTCGGTAATTTGGGCTTCCTTAATGTATCGCACAATCGCATCACTGAAATTAAACAGACTGAATTAGACGGTCTGAATAAACTGCGTACTTTAGACATCAGTAACAATTTACTTGCGTGCAGCCGTGAATTTGAAAATCTAATGTCATGGTTAAGCAATAAGAAGGTATCACCGAGCGCTACTTCTGCCAGTATTGCTAATCTTTCTAAAGATAATAAGGACGAAATTGAGACATACAGCTGGGAATTCCTTACACGCAAAACTTGCGGAAACGTTATTGTTCATCCCGTTGAACCTTTACCTCCACCGGAGGAGGAAATTTGGGCAAGAATTGATAAGGACACAGTAGGTGACTTTGACTTGAAGGATACACTTGATGACGGTAAAGTGGCAGACGACACTAAAACATCGGATAATAAAATCGATGACATTGACGATGACGCCGATGACTCTGATGAAGATGACGATGATGTCGAAGGTGACGATGATGACTCGGAAGAATACGATGATGACGACGATGATCAGAATGTAGACCTTAAAGTTAAACTTGTCGAAAAACCACAAAATGAGAAACCATCTACACCTGAGCCCAAAACAGAAGCCAGTCGTCAAGACAAGATGAAGATTGACATCAAACTTTTCGAAAAGGACAACTTCTACGACGATTTGGAGCCCGAGGTTTATGTGAACGAATCGGTTCAAGAATCTGAGCACAGTCGTTACGCGTACCTGTGGCCGATTTTAATTGCAATTCTAAGTGCATTGCTACTACTTATTGTCATCGCTAAGGTAGTAATGGTCGTATGCGGCAGACGCAACAGACAAATAAGATACAACAGTGCCATAATCGCTGCCATGAGTCACCAAGCCCGCACCAAGAAAGACTGCGGTCTGGTCTACCAGCAGTTGTCGGAAGACTTAACAGGACCCAAGACGCCTAAGCTGAACCGCTACGCACCTTTGCACAACGTTACAGTGAACGCCTCCAACGTCGAGTCTTACGAGAGCAGTCCCTTCCACCACAGCAATATCGTTCCTGAGGCGGTGTAGGTTGGTACAAAGTAACGTTACACTATATTAATACTGTGTTAACTCTTATATAAGCCGTAAGTGATAGAAAGGAGCGCTAGTCACCCGATTTACATAATTATACTTATCTACAAAATTGAGCATTTCGATAGTGCCTTCAAGCGATATTTTTCGAACAATTTTGATTAAAAGTTATACCCAACTAGCGCTTTGTTTTATTGTTAAGGAAATAACAAATCGAAGTCAAATTCAACAAATTAATTTAAGATTATTATACATAATTATTATATATTATACAAATTAGTTGTTAGGTTTATTTTATGTACTTAAAATTATTAAAAATTAAACACTAATTACAGTGTTCTTTTATTTATTTTCAAAATTAGCACCATTTCATATAAAATCCAACTAAACCAGAATATGGTGTACTTCTAATAAATAGTAATGGAATCTTCTAAAAGTTTATACAAGTCTTCTTCAGACTGTTGCAGTGGTGTTAATTTCAACAGACGGTGCTGAAACCAGAAAAACAATATTGTACACGTAATACACACTACCAATTTTTGAAAGAAATAAAGAAAACATTGTTTGTTGCCACAAAGGCATATCTGAATCCCGCAATGTACATTTCAATTTATAATTTTTCCTGAAAAATGCTGGACTCCGTCGGGAAATCTGGTAGGAACCCCCGCCCACTGATAAAAAAATCGTGAAGTTTAACCAGCTTCGGTTCCAGTCTGGATTTTCAAATATCCAAAGCCAATATAGGTCGACAGGTTGTAGGCTGCTTATGCTTTTAGGCTGGGGTATATCACCTACCATAAAGTAAATCCCCTTCTAAAAAATATATAAAAACACATACCTGGGGTAACGCTCCCTTTACAAGCTCCGGTATATCTTGGATAGAGTAACCGAGGCTGGACAATCCATCACCAATGCCCATTTTATCCATATACGATAAAATAGTATCAGAAAGGATCCTGCCAGCGTCATTTTGTTTCCGACCCGTTGTATCTGTGCCAAGAAGATTGGCTGCTTCTAAATGTTTGTCCGGGTCACTTTGTGCGGTGAAGCGAAATACCGCTGGAGCTGTGACTACTACGGACAGACCGTGGGGAATTATAGGGTCCTTCCTGGAAATACAAATAATGAGGTAATGAAAAAAAAAACTAACATTTTGATAAAAAATATAATTGAGCCTATGAATTTAGATCAATTTCTTTTTGTTGAAGCAAATTTTAAAACTTCAACGATTAATATCATAGACTACAGTAGTTGTAGTGTTTAAGCGATTATATAAATACTAGCTGTGCCAGCGAATTGTTTTTTTGCAAACCCCGCAAGTCTGCAAATCTATTTACATTTTAGTCTACATTATAAACTTAAGCTGTTAGCCACAACGTCGATCGCGTCCCTTCCCGTCGTTCTTGCTAGTTAAAAGATAGACATATAGCGTCGCACACTTTTTTTAGATCATTTATAGGGGAATCATTCTTTAATACACAATTTTAAGATATCTTGATCGTTTTCGCAGCGTACGCATCTGAAACAGAGATAAAAAAATTTCCCCCGTTTTGTTCCCATTTCTCGCTGTATATTCGCTCCTATTTGTCACATCGCAATGTGTTATAACCTTTCTCGATAAATGCTCTAACCAACACAAAAATAATTTTTCAATTCGAACACGGACGACGGAAGGACGGACTTCCTGAGATTAGCGCGTTCAAACAAACAAACTCTTCAGCTTTTTATTTTAGTATAAATTGTATCCACCTAACCAAATGCATATTGAGTTTAGCACAAAAATATAAAAAAGGGAAATCCCGTTTCCTCCTGTGAGACAAGGGACGTACACATTTCTGTATTTTATTTACAGGGAACTAGTTGCACGCCCGACCGAACAATCTATTGTTTCCACGGACCTCGCGCTTAACGCAATGACAGACAGACAATACCTTTTTAACCATTTAGATACAGAGGCTTTAAAGTATCCTCACCCATAATCATCTGGCACGAATTTCTTAACATTTCCGGCAATAGGGTATGCTAATCCATGACACAGGTGCACACCCGCATTACCGATGCCCACACCTGCCATCGTAGCAGCAAGATGCATACTCGAACGGGCTTCTAAGTCATCTGCGTTATTTACTGACCGCGTAAAGTACTTAGCGAGAGCCTGGAATTATTAAGCATAGTAGATTACTGCCTTATAGTACTTTTCACAAATAATGCTCGGAAATTAAAATTACGTAGTACAATTCCGTAACCGTTTTGTATCAGTTCGAAATTTAAATTAAACCTTTTATAAATTACCTCTTTGGTCGCCATGTTGGATAAAAGACCGTTGTATTTTTAAATTACACGACAAATATCGTTTTACATAGAAATTTATTTGACTAAACACAACATATATGGTTTTTCATACAACTATTGCCGGTCTCTGCTCGACCACTACAGCAAGTTTATCTTGAAGAAGGTGGAAATAATGCTCATATTACCAAGCATGTTTGAGAAAGTTTGCATTAGTGACACCAAAATAACTCTTTATGGGTATTTGAGTTACCTGTAAACAAAATCTTGACCAGACATCAGAGATGGGGTTACTTCCTTGATAAACAGGCCTCAACGCAGGATTAGCTGGAGCTGGACCTCGTTCAGTATATGGGATTGCCGTAAAACTCTCCAGGGCATGGCAAAAGATGTCGAAACCAGAATAAATGGCGACGTTTCGCGGAACAGTTAGTGTGTGTAATGGGTCAATAAGAGCCAGCAAAGGCCTCAGGGCTGCATTTGCTATACCCGTTTTAGCTTTGATTTTTTCATAGTCAAATATACTCATTCCGGTAGTTTCACTGCCTGTTCCGCTTGTTGTTGGTACTGAAATTTGAGACTTTATTTTTATTTTTGAAGATAGAGGAGGGCAGACAAGCATGAAGATCACTCTAATGGAAGGTAAATACTCCAGAGATATTAACACCTTGGCAAGATACGCTGTCGACCTATTTTGTCTTTTGATATTTGGAAATCCCACAGATTGAAACAGTAACGTGATCAAGCTTTTACATCTGTGGATGGTGGTTCGTAACCAGGACTGTGGTTCGTATCCAAAGCGAATATAGATCGACAGCGCATCTCGATAGATGCTATAAGCTTGGGTATTTCACGTACTATCAATCCCATGCTTGCCTATCCTTCTCTATCATTAGAAAAGAAAGGACAGAATTCTGATATTCCACATACCACACAATTAGTATTCAGATTTCCATACAAAATCCAACATGTTTTAGAAAAAAATATAAATTGATAAAAAACACAGCACCTGGTTTGAATTGAATTGAACCCACAACTCATTAAAAGCAAAATGAATTTAAAAAACTTATATTCTCTATTTTATGTTTACCAATTATATGAGGTAACGAAAAAAATGTAACAAAAAACATGTTAAAAAACTAAATAAGCAGACTCATAAGGCATACTTGCTATTAAAGGCTTGAGCGGGACAGTAACCTGTTTTCCTTTTCCAATTGGTTGATTGACATAGTCCAAGAAATCAGCTTCCGGATCACAAGAATATAGATTTGCAGCTTTGCAGGTGTCCATTACAGAGCCACCTCCAACGGCCACAAAACTATCAAAGTTTCCCATCTTTGCAAACAGTATTGCAGCTTTAAAACTGAAATAGTAAGTTATGACGTGTACTTAGGATCCGTCAACAAATATAAAACTGTATTTTTTTTATTGTGGGTAAATCTTTCTGGATACCCACCCCACAAGCAAATAGGTTAATTCAGACAAAAACTAACTGAAACCCCACAGTAGGACAACATAAAGATGTTTTTAAAATATTTTTTTACAAAATACAACTATATCCAACAACTGCAAAACAACTCTATCAAAAGCCTTCAGCGGACAGGATTGCCACATACAATTCATACAGAAGTGACTTATTTTGGAATATTTATACAGTGAACCAATTATATTAAAACAGAACAGGTAAGAGTTTCTGTAACTGTAACTGATTATTCAAAATCTATTTCATTCTTTATAACCTCTTATATTGTTGTAACATTAAATCTAATTATTAATAAGTTCACATTGTTTCCTTCTCTTAATAAATATTAATTTGAAATTATCTTACCTAGAGTCAGTTGGTTCAACCCGTACTTCATCAAACACCTTGTAATTGATTCCATACTTTGTTAGAGAATCCAGCACAGCCTTTGTAGGCTTTAGGGACACTACATTTGGATCAGTCATAACACAAACATTTTTGGCTGCGAGGTTGACTAGATCAAGACCGACCTCTTTTGTAACTCCCAAACCATATCTAACAGTTGAACATTTAATCTAAAAAAATATACACAATAATAAAGTCTTGCATACATTTAATTATTCTTTGAAAATATGACGATCCTATTTGATCATACTTTATAATAGAGAGTTGAAGAAGTAAACTTTATAAGCAACACATAATAACTTAAATTCTATTTATAATTAATCATTAACTCACTTCAAAAGCATAATCCTTTTCTGGAGTACTATTAGTAACTTGTATGTTCCCTCTAAAGCCATGAGCTGGGCACTGACATCTAAAAAAATTGTGTAGTTATTATCTGCATGTAGGCTGGATAAAAAACGACACTTTTTTCTTCTTTTAATTTTTGAAATATTACTTACGCAGCGACATTGATTGTTCTTAGTAATTCAAATACACGCTTACGAGATGTCATTATAATAAATTTGGAGTTTAAACTTCACAAATGTACGTTGATCACCACATCGTAGTCATGCAATACAAAATATTTTTTGTTTTAATCACTGCAATACATTTGCTATCGTTGCAATGAACCAAATAAAGATAAGGTTAAGATTACGTTTATCTTTTTTTAACCTACAACGCATATTCATTGGTTGATTCTTGGCGTTTTATTATTTATTAATTTTGTTTTGGGATTCTATTATTTTTGAGGGGTATGTAAATACGACGAATACATAACCAACATGATATTATTTATTATTAACAAAGCAACATGTTTTTATTATAAAAAATATATTAATTGTATTATTTATTATGAACTAATTAGTATTAGCTATTGGCCCAGAATCTTTTTTTCGAATGATTGATGGTTGAAGTTGACATTAGACACATTGCAGTCACAATTAAGCAAGCTGTCAAATGTCATCTGACAGCATGTCACGCCATCTCTCGTAAGTAGCATGTACTATTAACGTTTAACCCTTAAATGGACAATGTTGTTTTTAAACAACATACTAAACATCACAGATAAAATTATCTTTATTTTATTTTTTTGTTAATTTTGACAACTAGTTCTTATTTCTGAACGAATTTTGTACTTTTTTTAATGTTGGCACTATCCAATATTTTTATGCATTAAAAATAAATGAATGTCAAATGCCACTTTGAAGAAAACTTTTCTAGTGGCGCGAAACTAAGTTTTGAAGCTGTGTTCGGACTTTGATAAAATATAATGTAAGTATATAACATATTTTTATTTGCTTGATTATATCTTAAATTACATGTTCATGTTGTAAAACATTAAAAATTACTTGATGCTACTGTCGAATTACGCGAAATCTGGTATGTTGTAGGAAAACTACAATGCGCATTGTCTGCTAAATAAATGCATGTTTGGTGAAGGGTTTTTATTTTGCTTTTCAGCATGCCGCGATTACTAGAAAGCGAAATTACAAAGTATTTAGAAACTCTTGAAGATTCAGAAGATGGCTTAGACGGCTCGGACTCCGAAGTAGAGGATGAAGGTCACTATTATCAAACAGCTCGAGATGTTCTTCGGGACCTTGAAAATAGTGATGAAGGTGAGAATGCCCAGTCTGATGAAGTGGATGCTGATCCTCCTCTCGTTATTGACAACGATCAAAATATGCCAGACCCTCCTATTTTGGAAGCCGGAGAAGCAGTACCCCAGAGTAGATCACAAGGGATTTCTAAGCGACCTCTGGTTTGGCGAAAACGGAATCTTGTTACTGCTGAAGACAGCCTTGTTTTTAGGGGAGAAACTCAGATAACGGAAGCATTGATGTCTTGTAACACGCCGTATGATTTCTTTTCATTTTATTTTACATCAGATCTAAAAAAGCAAATTGTAGAACAAAGTAACTTATACGCGGCCCAGAAACAAATATCCAATCCTGAAATTATAAACAAGATAAGAAGCCCGTTAACCTTCTTTCCACTTACGTAGGAGCAAAACCAGCAACCACAGTCACGCGCTTTGATAAATCGAAGTAAGAGAGAGTTGCTATTCCATGCCCCAAAGTCATCAAGGAGTACAATGCTCACATGGGGGGCGTGGACTTATTAGATTAATTTATAGGTCGTTATCACATCACAATGAAGAGCCGCAAGTGGACCATGCGCTTATTTTATCATTTCCTGGACCTCGCAGTTATAAATTCATGGGTTATGTTCAAGAAGGTAAATAATATAAAAGGAAATGATCAACTTCTCAATTTGGGTACATTTAGACTAGAACTTGCCGAAACCCTCTGCAAATTGGGTCTACCTGCAAATGGCGCTAAACGTGGTCGACCTAGTGGGAGCACAATACAAAGAGAACTAGTAATGAAGAAGTTCCGAGGACCAGCTCAAGCAATTCCTTTGAAAGACGTCAGATTGGATCAGACATGTCATTGGCAGTTTGGCTGGATAAGCAGCAGAGGTGCAAATTCCCGAAATATTCAGGATTTACGTTCAAAATGTGCCAAAAATGTCGTGTATCTTTATGTGATACGAAAAAAAGCAATTGTTTTTATAAATATCATAATTTAGAATAAATAAACACATTTCAAAAACAATATCCACTCTTATTTTACCCATACTTGCAAAATGTCATTGAATGCGCAATGTAGTTTATAAACAACACTCACATTATTGCAAAAAAAAAATAGTAAATTCATGTCTAGATTTTTTTACTCATTTTTCCTAGACAGTAATACATGTCTATTACACAAATATATTTTTTTAAAACGTAAAAAAAAATCGTCCATTTAAGGGTTAAAGCATTTTCCAGGCAGACCATAGTTAAAATAATTTCAAGAGACGAAAGGAATGGAGGAAAAACGCATTTAACTACAAATCCATTTAATATACTACATATTCATTCAGAATTAGAATAAAACATCTTACTCACTATAGCATCATTTGGTTACAATTTTAATAGTATCATACTGACAGGCTAAAAATGGCATTAAAATATTTCATCACAATAAAGTTTTATACACTAATCTGTAAAATAAATATGATTTACACGGTAAAAATTTACAGGGAAATACGTGGATTCAAGGGATTTGACAAAGTGATAAAAAATATTATAACACAATCGTTTAAAATTAAAATAAATTAGAAGAAATACGTCTATAGGAATTCAGTCCTGAAATTGTTCATGAATGTTGTATCAGAAAAATATATATGCTGGAAATGTAATTAATGATGGTGTAACTATTGTGCTATAATCAAGATTAAATAACAATATAATATACATATACGCTTTGGTGATTAGTTTAAGAAACATGAACAATTTAGGGATAAAAATTAAAACCTTATTAGTTGGTACTGGAAAATAACACAACTGTACATGATATTATTTCGTTAACGCAAACTAAAAAAATATATCTACACGTTCAGTACAAAAATGACGTAAAACAATTACTATAATACATCTCTAAACTGTCGTCTAAATGACAATAAAACTATGGAGAAAGTATTTTTGCATGTACACAACAAAAATAATACTAAAATTATGGCAACGAGCTTTAAATAGGTAACTAAATATAAGCTGGTATTCACTTACAACTATTTGGGAGTCTATGGTACAAGAATAGTACGCGAGAAGTAGGAATGTAGAAAATGTAGGCAATCTGTGTATGAGTGGGTGAAAGAAGTTTGGTTAAGAAACAAACAATTTAGCTGCATTAAAAATTCAATCGAATGAATATGGACACATTATAGACATATTTTTGAGTACTTTGCATTATTTATATTTTATTCTTCAAGTCCTTGAAACGTTTAGTGATAAAATTTTATATTCATAACAATTATTATCAAAGTGGTACGTGAGGAGTGATAAGCCGATGTTGCAGGTTCATTAATATTAAGAAGTTCATTTCTGTTTAAAAAAGCGTACAAAATTCAAATGTGGCTTTTTATATTATAGGAAGACAGACGAGCATAAAATTCACTCGGTCTAAAGCGAAATACCAGCCATACAACATCTAAACAGTCAACCTTTGCCTTCAGTGCAACTGAAACGCGAGTAAACTTCACGGCTTCTTAACCCATGGACGGTGGTTCGTGGCCCACCCATTTAAAAACCAGTTTTATAAGATGTTTCAGAAAAATCATAAATTGTTTTTAGAATGGACGTAAAGGAATTTGAATCTACGGCCCATTGTTTTCTAGTTATTGATTAGTTTAACAAAAAAAAACACCTCATTATACCGCTGATTGCTTACGAAACGAACACGGCTTATAACTCCTGACAAAGATAGAGAAATCTATAGACAACATGTAGCAACAATCTATGAACTACGAGAACACCTACAACAAATGGTCACTGGTCCAATAGATTTAAGGTAATATAAAAATCTTTCACATCACATAAATAGTCATTTGGCAATTCGCTAATGAGCTCGATTATATAAGACGAGGTTTGAGCCAAGTTGAGCCAAAAAGTTCTCGTTTCAAAGGGTCAAAGTGAGATTATTTTCGACAAAACTTTTTAAAATGGCAACAACTTTTTCGTCTCTTTCATTTTCTTTGTTTTAATGTTTGTTTGATGCAAATTTAAGATCAAAGCCTTATTAGGCGAACGATTTTCAACCGACGGCGATGACGAAAGAAAGGGTAATGATTTTCATTATAAGTAAGCGTTATAAATACACCATCGATTTTATTCAACTATATGACACACAACAATAGGTTTTTTATCTCGGATTTTAAAGAAAAGATAAGTGTGGTCATGTGTATATATATGTACATATATACCTTTGTTTGTGACATAGAAGGACAGACAAACATTAGGTTCTTTCTATGGGAGATAGCCAGCCATATGCTATATAAACACATACGCTATCGACCTATTTTGACTGGACATTCGTTTTATAAATACTGTCTGTAGTTCACGCCAGTAGTACACATTTAAATAAAACACTTTAACGGTTTAAAACGCGATGTACATATTTATTTGGATTGATCAATCAATCATTTTAACAATGGCCTGACGTTTTGGATAATTAATAAAATAAATAAAACCGCCGCACGGTTGTGGTCACGGAAAGTCCCCTCCTCGCGGTATTAACTAATGTATATCGCGTTTTTAACCGTTAGTGTTTCATTTAAAAGTTTAGTTTACTACTTGTTATAAGATCGATTAACCCTCAAAGGGACGGAGTATCCATTGGCACGAATTAAAATTGGTGTTACAAATTTGCCACAGTTGAAAACTGTCAAGTACTTGCTAAAATGCTATACATTAATCAACTCGAAAGTATGAACTGTATATAAAATACGTAGATGACGAAAAGTTAAATATAAACAACAATTGTGCTGAATTATCACAACGGAGTTTTGCCGAGGCGTACTGTTAAATTCTGCCCTGTGCACACAACGCAAAGCAGTAGAATCTCTTTCCTCACAATAAACCATTCCCTGTTTACTTCGTGAACTCGTAAGTATGAATACAGTAAAATCTCACTAATCCGGCAATTCAAAAGACAGACGCGTACAACATTTCGCCAAATTACCCCTCCCCCGTCATCCTTCACACCTTTCACTGTGCGTAAAGTAAATATGGCTTATAAGCAACCATAAAATTGATAAGTACGGCTTATATTTCTAAATACTCTGTATCATCATTGCCAGGTCCTTTTTATTTATATTTTATGTCTATACAATTCAGCACACTGAACTTAGAGTGAGATTCTACTGTAACTATAATACACTTTATGTATTGAATATAAAATATTTGTGTAATAGTGTAAATAAGCTCATAGCCATCAAAGGAAAGCTGAAAGCTTTAGGCCAGTGTGGGAATCGATCAATTGCCCTTCAAGATCAGACAGAGAATAACATCTATATCGGTTGAGCTAAAATATCACGAAATTACGCACGTTTTATACTTCTAACATCGAATCTAGATACACACGTAAAAGTGTACTAAGTTTTGCAAAACTTGTTTAAAGTTTTTTTTATTATACAAAAAAAAAGTATACCAAAAGTTAATATTTTAAGTATTTTGAAATAAAGTTTCAATTTACAGCAGTTAGGCCAGAATAGACGAAACGTTAATCGTTTGAAGCTAACTCAATCGAACCGTTCATACACCGCAACGGAATACTTGAGCCGAATGACTACACCTCTAGTTGTCTCTTTCTCGCTAATCGGGTAGCATGTGCACGAAAGAGACGGGGAACATGCCGCGCCTATTCGTTCCCTCGACCTGACCTTCCATCCAGTTGTCGTCTTCCGTCCTCTCGTTGATCACGACGATCACTTCGCCTTCGCGGAACGACAACTCGTCCTCGTTATCTGCTGAGCAGTCGTATAGGGCCCTGCATCGCCTTGTACCGCCCATCTGCAATAGTTTATTTATTTATTAAAAACGGCGATCTCTTCCAGGCCACCAAATATGAAGGGAAAACAAAAGTTAAAAGGATATAGATAGTTTAGGTAGTAATTGTATTGGATTTAGACAGTTGACAGGTAGTAATAATAATTGTTAAATTAATTTGTGGTTAAATTCACAGGAAGCTTCTTTGAAACAATAAACTAAAAAGAAACATAGAAACTTAACGCGCCAAATATTACGTTTTTTTAGCTTTGAAAGTTGAAAACAATATCTTAGCAGGATGGAACGCTGTGAGTGCGGTTTCGAGTCCCGCCCACGTCGTCTTTTGTGTCTTAACAGACGATGATTTACTCATCATTTTATGAACACCTATTTCTTTCCATAAAAAAAGAATTAAAAAAAATTGGTTCTTAATGAATGGTAAAAAAAAGTAAAGAAAATTGTATTTTCTTTCGCCTCTTATCGCCTTGTATCGATAACATAGAAGACTAATAATTAAGATAACATTTTTAGTGCTAAGTAGGACTTGAACGCCATCCACAGCGTTCCGGCTGTTGCTGTAACCAATCGAGCTACCGTGTCCTACACGCCGTCGTCGTTTTTTTTTTCCACCTCAACACTTGGGTATTAAGGTTGACACATCACTTACCATAGTAATGGACGCCGACGGAGATCGCGAGTGAACACTAGAGGTATCAGACACATCGAGCGAGCGACTATCGCTTCGCCGCGACCGTTCGCGCGACCTGGAACTTTCGCACGACAACGCCGACTGCAGCCGGCTGTCGTCCAGCGCGTCCGAAATGTCACACAGTTCCAACGACGAGTCTTGACTAGAACATTCCTGGAATATTTAAAATTCACGATATCATATATTATGTACATATAAGCACTACAAAGCTCTTTTAGACTACGCTATAATATAATAGCTTAGCTTAAAAATAACGCCATAACTTTTGAAGTTTAAGCGACACGGTAGCTCAATTGGTTTGAGTAACAGATCTATATAGTTAATTATAAATAGATATTTTATGTAATTATCTCAATAGTTTTATGGCATCTTTATGCTATTATAGTATAGCTAAAGAGAGCTGTATTAACTCAAAATTTTAGGCACTAGAAACATAATAGTGGAGGTTAAGGTGCGTTCAGGTTGAAAGTTTCAAGCTAATTTATACTAGTCCATATTGCTTTTAACAAAATGCGATTGGGCAAAACTATTATGTAAGTATTTCGAGATTGACTTTCTATAACAATTTAAAAAGCTATAATAATGTTCGAGAAGATATTCAACAGAGTTTTATTAAATTTGCGTTTTTATTTTTTAAATAGGTTTAAAGCTGTTCTTATTTTATACTTTTAAAATCAAAACATGCATGCAAACCTTTGTTAGTAGTTTAAATCCTCAAAATATAAAATTATTTACATAGTGTTGGATATAATTCGGTTATTATCATCTACGTGTATTTCCTTCTGGAAACTACTTTTTTGGGCATCGGGGTAACTACAGCTGATCTATATTAGGCATGCGAGAAATCCATAAAATGACACACTCATTGTGTGCGTCTTAAGGGTTTAAGATAGTCATTTACTGTCAAGAGAAGCACGTGTTGAGCAGAACTTGCTTATTACAACTTAAGTACTTAGGTTCTTGAGCTGTTGGTCGTAATTGAGAAATAATTCTCGACGTTTCGCCATCAGTGGAGTGGCTACATCGGCAGATGTTAAACCTTCTTTGTAATCACGAAAAGTCAAAAGTTATGGCTTAATTACAACAGCTTGAAAACATAAGTAGCTTTGCAAAAACGCCGCAAAAGCCTTATAAAAATAGTACTTTGGCGTAGCATTATATATCAACCCTTGACAGTAATCGAGAGATGTCACAACAAAAGACAGGAGTGAAATTAAACAAGGAAAGCGATTAATTACACTAAGCTCTCTCTTTTACCCTTCTCAGTTTCGCTTTGTCAGCCTTTTCCTGTTGCATTCTATTTTTTTTCTGAAGAAAAAAAACAAAATCTGTACTCTTCACTTTAAGTGTGTGGTTTAAATGTTAACATTTTCTACGCGTTGCAACAATGTTAGTACTTTCGTTATTTGTACGCTGCAGTTCAGTTAATGAAATAAAATGCACATGTTAAAATGTTTCCAACCTATATGTTAATCTTAATGATTGAAATGATACTTATAAACATAAGTTATAGACACAACATTAAATTTGAAATAATCGGTGAAGCTAACATTTACAGCAAGTAAACTAGCTTAATAAGACAAACGTCTTAATTTAAATAAGCAAGAATTATTATTTTATTGAAGCTTAACTTCTTATTACAGGAAATACCTATAAACAAAACATTGTAAATATCTGTATTACATTTGATTTGGTTACAACAACTTTCATCAAATGTCCTTTTAAAAAAGAAAGTATCGAATTAATTATATAACAGTATGTTTATTGTACTGACCTTCCTCGGTGGCGGCGTAGGCTCGTCCCGATGACCTCCATTGTGCATTGAGTGTGTTGGTGGGGGAGTGGGTGGTGGCTGTTGCGGCCGGTGCTTCACTGTGCCACCTGAAAATTTAAATTTGTCATTGTTGCATTAACAAAATAAAATCATTAATTTTGTTATTAAGAGCGCTTTGCATAGGTATGCATGATACATGATTTTCAAGTATGTATTTTATTATAACCCAATAGTTCTTTGGGCGGTAAGTGAAAAATATTTAAGTATCTATTTTGTTAAGGTATTTTTAATTTATAAATTTAATGATAGAGGGGACTAGCATGAGGTTTACTTGATGGAAAGAAATACCCCAGCCATATAATATTTAACAAGATACGCTGTCGGCCTATTTTTGGTATTGGATATTTGGGAATCCATATTTAAACCGAAACGCTATAAAACTTCACACTCATTTTATGTATTTAAACAAACTATCGGCACCATAAAAAACTATGATTTTAAAATTTTAAATGATCAAAACAAAACTTAGAAATTTTATTAAAGTTTTTTTACTGAACACACCAAGGACAAGTTGTTTATAATAAAGATCTACTTACTATGTATAGATCTAGTATCCGATGGTGATGGTGATGGTGTGGAGCGATGGTGTGGGTGCGGTTGAGGAAGTGTCACGGCGGGAGGCAGCGGCGCGACACGTTTCTTTAAACTGTTCAAGTTGTCTGCAAAAACATTAATTCGTACGTCGATTTATAGATTAGAATACACTGTATGAGTTGACAATGACAAAGCAAAATAATTTTTAGGCAGAGGAATTATTAAAAACGTCCTTGTAATACGTAGAAGTCCCAAATTGCTGATCAGAACAGCCAAGATATTTAAAACAATCATTATAGCAAGTTGCAATGCAAGGACACTAACACCCAAAGAATGGGAAAACAATACAAAGAGAGAAATGCAAAAAGAAGAGAAGACAAAACAAAAGAAGCACACAAAATTACTTTTTAAAGCTATTTAGACGTGTGTGGTAATTTAGAAATGGTTTTTGACGTCTTGCCATCTCGAGTGAATGAAAAAACAAGACAAATATACGGTTATACCAAAAACGAAGACATTACTTACAGACATTAGGTTTTCGAGGTAGTGTAGTAGGCGTGGGTGGTGCATGATGCAAGGAATCGCACGTGGAAGACCTGGAACGCAACACGGGGGAGTCCCCACCACCTGCTGTGCTCGTTCCGCATGTGCCCGCGTACGATGGAGGCCGAGATCTGGGGCACTTCTTCTCTGGGGTAACGCTGCCGTTTTGCTGAAAATATTGGTTTTGATTTTTATGATTTTACAATATTACTTATTACTAGAGCTTTGACATGAAAAATAAGAATGCAGATGGACATATAGAAGCGTTTTCGATCTCAATCTGGTTTTAAAATTGATTCTCTTTCATGAGTAGTCAATTAACGTTCTGTCAATCAAATATTACAAAATCAGCGCAAATAAAAAACAGCTTTTACGTGCACATTGGACGTTGAGTCGCCAACACTAATATTTTTATACGATATATAACTAGCTTGCTTTTAACTGTAAAAGTCTAATTACATGACGGATAGAGCTTACCCTCTCATCGATGACTGTGTCATCATCCGAGAAGTCAGTCGAGCCATCATCGTGAGATAAATTCCAGTCTATATTAATATTTTCAAATATACTCTTTTCTCTTTTATCCACGCCCTCTAGCTGAAAAAAAAGTCATAACAATTAAATATCGTCTATTAAGTTAGTTAACTCTAGTAGTACATATGAAAATAACGGTTTAAAATGCTGCACAGCATTAGGTCTAAATATTCTTACTTGAAGTTCCTAATATTTAAATTGGAAGCGACAAACGAAGAATTTACCCTTCCAGATCAAAAACCCCTTCTTGAATCAAATGGAGAGTAGCGGTAATAACTTACCAGTTCTTGGCAGGCAATGTGTCCCAGCTGCCTCGCTACTTGCAACGCCGTCCTGCCGTTTCCATCCCTCAAACTGCTGTCTGCTCCAGCCTTCAGCAATAGTTTCATAGGTTCTGTCCGATCTATCGCAGCGCATAGATGCAGCGCTGTCATTCCGGAAGCCGTGGCCTTGTCTAAGAGTTGGGAGCCCCCGTTCTGGACTAGAAAATCAACTATGTGGAGACATGAACCATCCCCTAGTTCACGAGATATTGCGAGGTGCAGGGCCGTTTCGCCGCAATCCTGAAACATGAAGATTACATTTTATGGACAGGTGACGTAAGTCTGGGAGTGTACCTTGAAAGTCAAGGACGACTGTTCCTAATGGCTTGTTAGTTAACTTAATTGTTAATTAATTATAATGAAAACGTTTAACTAATTGTATAAAAGCTTTTGCGCCTATTTTGTAAAGGTGGAGTTTAGGGCTGTCCCTCAGTCGAGGAACACGTCAAGGGAAATTTATTTTAATCAGAAATTAAACTGAATACATTTCAGTTTATTATTTTTTTATATAAAATGTACTTATATTCTTGAAGATTCTATTATTAAAAAGCTATGTAATCATGCTCTTAAATACATTATTTTTTAAAACGTAACAAATGTCTGGACAACAATGATATAATGTTCTACCTAGAAAAGTTGATGTCTCGATTGTTTATAAATAAATAACGTACCGAACTGGGCAAAGTGGCGGCTAGATCAGCGCCCTCTGCGTACGCTTGCAGCAAATTCTGCAGGTGTCCGTTATTGACCGCGTGTTCGACCTCCGAGAGCCTTTCCGCCTCGTCACGACACGTCCTTGCCGCCCACGCCCGATACACGTACTTCTCGCGAATAAATCTTAACCTTTCATCCCTATAAATACATCATTTTTATTAATTTTAATTCAAAAAGAAGTTACAAAAATTTGTGGCGAGAAACAGCGGCCTTATCGCTAAAAAGCGATTGACTTCAGACAACCTTGTTAGTGGAAATTTACAATAATAATCAATAATGGTTAATCATTACATTAATGATTTTTAAGTATAGCGTTAAGCATGAGGTCTTGGTTTCGAATCCCAGGAAAGTTATTTTGGACCTGACCCTAAAACGGATTTAAAATTATGGTTGCACGCATGGTATATGATCCCCACAGAGGGGGAAAGGGAATCATATACCCTGATTCTCGTTTATTGTTATTCTTAATAGTTAAGAAATACATTCAAGTAAGTAATGAAACGATCACTCACATTGAACTGCCTGGTTTCAACTTTAATCTTTCATCTAAAGTATTTTCCATGACATCGTTGAACGTTTGGTTGCCCATATGTCTGGCTAAAAGTAGCTGTGAGGTGCTCAGTCGGTCCAGGGTTAACGATTGTATGCGTGAAATGTGCACGCCCAATTCTCGATGGCTTCCAGAACATTCTATACACACTATTATGCCAAAATTCGTTGATAGCCAAGTCGGATCTGAAAAGAACATACGGTATTTAATGGGAGCATAGAGGTAGACTGCAATTCTTTATTCTCGAGTGCTGTGGAAGGGGGAAACAATCATCCATCCACTCAGTGAATGGTCAGTAAGTACTCAAAATTCAGACATGACTAAAATCTTTGACGGATTATTAACATTGGTACCATTAGACCAACTAATGGTATCAATGTTAATAATCGATCAGTCAGATGTTAATTTGATCTCTACTGGGTCCAACATCAATCTATAATTTTTCAGAAAGATGTTGGAAATCTGGACATTAAATGGGTGGTAGGAATATCGAAATTCCATCACAAACCACAGATGGAAAAACAGCAAAATTTAATCTCCGAATATCCAAAACCAAAATAGGTCGACAGCATATAGTATCAATGTTATATGGCTCGGTTATTTCACCTTCTATAAGCTGAGCCCCATGTTTCTCTATGTCTGTTTTTCTCTATCATAAATGTCAATACAGAAGCAATGACATCAAACAAGTAAGGATGATACAAATAATAGGATTTTGCAAGGAAACCAGAAAGTCCCCTACTTAGAGAGAGATGGGTAACCTAGCGTCCTTCACAGAGGGGGAATTAAACGGTCAGCAACTAGTGTAGAATGATCACCCAGCATTCTTTCAATGCTAATGGAGACAGCAGGCCCGACGCGCGAAAGCTTGACGTACTCTATAGGGCAAATGGCTCGATCGCTCCTAATAAGCGACTCGCTTGTAAGAAACAGGCTGTCAACACGTTCGACATTGCCGTGTGAACAAAAACCCAACCCATTTACCTAGTGTTGCGTGCACAATGCATAACGTTATGCAACGAACCACTCAACTGCGATGGAAACAATGCACTTGCGCTTTTTATTAATTACACATTTATCGGCATTTATTATTAGACAAGCAGATAATGTTCCCAGTGGTTTTAATAACGACTTAGATATACCAATATATAAAAATAACTAAATAAAATCCTAAGTATGAAATGACACATTTCAATTAGTCAATAATTGTATTTTTTAAGTGTTGTGTGTGGTTATCCCCTTGTGACCACTTCTGCTGAAAAGCATCCAAAACGTCAGGCCGTAGTTAAAATAATTTGTAAATAATCTTTGACAAATATATTTCGTGTCTAAAACCGTTTAAAGTGTTTTATTTAAAGCCGTATTTTTGTTGTGTGGCAAGAATATTTAAGAATTCGTTTTACATCTAGTCTGACGTGTTTCTTTAGTGAATTTATAGTTTATAGATCCTGATATGAAATGCCCTCTGTGTCACGATTCACGAACCACGTTCCACAGATGGTCAAGCCAAAATAGATAGAAAGAGTGTCACGTTGAGATGAATGCATATGGCTAGGGTCTTTTACTTGCCGCAAAACATCCAAAAAGTCCGGCTGTAAATTAAAAATAATTTAACTTACATATTTCGCGTTTTAAACAGTTCACGTGTTAAATGAGACATTATTTGTGTATTACTCGATGGTAGGTGAAATACCGAATCCGGATATTCCGAAAAATAAAAACACTTCTATTTACGTAATTCACAATTATTAACTTTTCGATTAACATTTCGCCCGATCTATTTCAAAAGCCTCTCGAGCCTCGTTTATTTATCACGGCGCTGATGGAACTGTCAGCTAAGTTTCTCATTTAGGCTTTCGTAAAGTTAAATACGTTCTCGAGCCTCAGGGCTACACTGTTTCATAACTTCTTTAACATCAGACGGAATTTCCGCCGTAGACGGCTATTTTAAATGGATTTATAATGTAATAGCTGTGCCCGCGACTTCGTCCGCGTGAAATAGTGACTTGGGGTAGAATTTTTAATTATTGGGGCTGTTTATTAATTTATGTAAGGGTGCATTTAAGGCAGCCAATCTATGGAAAGTGCTACTTTGCCGCAACACTCTCACCTCACATCACTCCTACTCTAACTCCCACTCTCATTCCTACACTCACTCCCACGACCACCCCTACCCCCACTCCCACTCCTATTCCCAAAAAGCTAAAGAAGAAAGTTTTATTGTTCTAGCTTAAAAAACCACGAATTTCCATACAAACTTTACCCCCCCTATTAACCCCTTACAACCCCCTTTTCGCAATAAAAAGTAGCCTATGTCCTTTCTCAGGTTCTAGACCAGATGGTCTACTAAATTCATTCAAATCCGTTCAGTAGTTTTGGCGTGAAAGAGTAACAGACAGACAGACAGAGTTACTTTCGCATTTATAATATTAGTAAGGATAAGAAATATATTGTAACCAATCGTTGTCCGTATGTAGGTGATATATGATAATAAAATATTACGGGAGACCTTTTTCAACGCAATAGTATCTAAAATGATTTCAGAAATTATTTTCTGTTTATCTGTGTGTTGGTGTACGCTAATCTCAGAAAAGGCTCATCTGATCTGGATGAAGTTTTCAGCAATATATTGTGGTAAGCTCTACTTAAGGTTTAGTGATGTTCATGTCAATCAGTTCATAAATAATAAAAACTGTCAAGTTAAAGGACTTGCTTCTTTGTTTGTTTGAACGCGCTAATTTCAGGAACTATTGATATGATAATTTTTGGGTTGGTTAGAGCATTTATCGAGGAACGCTATAAAACATCATATGCAGCTAATAGGAGCAAAGAGGAAGCGTGGTCATCTTTGCGGGGTCTCCGTAGCGTGCGCCGCGAAAACGGTTCGAGGAACGATGGCGAGTAATGCATAGGTGGATAATTCAAAGAAGAATATTCAAAAAATGTCCACGACAGTATTTCTCTATCTTATAAGATTAACTTGTAAGAACGACGGGACGCAGACGACGTCGTGGGTTAAGTTTATGATGAAGAGGTATGCGAAAATAAATAATATGATAACCAACACAACTATTTCACGCGGACGAAGAGCACAGCTTGTATTTGAAAAAAATCTACATCTTTTTCAAGCCACTGCAAATATTTGAGTACCAAAATGAGCTGTTACTAAATACAGTAGCAAAATGCAAGAATAGACATACCATTGGCTGAGCCACAGTCGCAGCACACTTGATTCCCGGGCAACGACCTCACGGCCCTTATGATGGACCGCTGGAGGTCCAGCAGCGAATGGCCGTTGTCGTTGCTCTCGCCAGCCTGCTGGTGGAACGCCCTCATCAGCGCACCTTCCTTGCAATTGACGAGCACCGATGTCCACGCGCGTTGCTCGTTCTCATCATCGGCTTGGAAGTGGTAGGTTCGGCTATCTGAAATTAATATATAAAAAGATTATAGATCCAGTTTTCCCTGTGGGGCGTGGGGTGTTTAACTATTCAAATGTTGAATATCTATTGTTTTAGAAGTTGCAAAATTTAGACTAATATTATAAAGCTGAAGAGTTTGTTTGTTTGAACGCGCTAATCTCAGGAAGTACTGGTTCGAATTGTAACATTTTTTGTGTTGGCTAAAGCATTTATCGTGGAAGGTTTTGGGCTATACAACATAAGGCTGCAATCAATAGAAGTGGAGGAACACCGGGAAATGTTAGAAAAAAGGGGCAAAATTATTCATCTCTTAGTATTTTCGTTGCGTGCACCCCAAAAACGGTTCAAGATATCAAAAAAAATTTATGAAAAAAACTCTTCAGCTTTATAGTATTGGGATAGTTTGTTGGCTAAGCATGAACAGACAAATGACTTCAGGCTTCAGATACCCTACAACTGATTTCAGCTCTACCTGTTATCTCGATTGTACTTAAGATAAAAACAGCTACTTACATGAGACTAGATCGAACGCCCTTTTGTCTTCCGTTGCTACTTTAATCTGACACGTTAAGAGATTCACTCTGGCGGGGGTTTTATTTTCATCCGCGTGGAATATGTCCAGGTAACCTTCGGCGGTGACTCTACATCTTCTCTTTTGCCAGACTCGACGTACTTTACCCTCGGACTTCTTGAGAAGGTAACCGCTGCGCGTCACACCGTGTTGCTTGTCACCTTGCAATTGGTGAAGTGAATAACCACCGACCGCTGATGCCGCCTAGGAAAATGAAAAGTTAGTTCTACTTTTTTCAATTTAGGCTCAAACGCGAAATTTTATTAATTTTTTTAGCATTATTTAATAACATTTTTTTAATAACAACGTCTTATTTTACGGTTTAAGACGAAGTTATTTATTATATATTAGTTAACAAGTGAGTTTCGCGTTTTGAAGCGTCAAAAGTGTTTAATCTAAACAATGTATTTGAAAATCGATCAGTGAAGTATTACATCGTTCCCAAAAACATTGTATAAATAATTGGGTGACTTGATATATTTCAAAAACTATTTAATAATTATTATTATATTTAAACAAAACTATTTAATATATATATTTTTTTAAATTACGAATAAGCGATTGATCTCACCTCTCTATCTTGCGGTGCGGCCGCCCGCAGCATATTCCTCAGTTCCAGCAATCGCCGGCGCTCGTCGTCCTGCTGCTGCCTTATCTTCTGCAACTGAACACTCAAATCCGCCACGTACACGCCAAAGTGCTCGATCGTTTTTAGACCATCTTGAAAGTAGTTCGTCTGAGCATGATAGTACTCCACTAGATGCTGCAGTAATTCAATGCCCTTCTTCGTCTTGATCTCGTTAAACTTGATGAGGTACTAGAAAAAAAATATAAAGTCAAGAGAGGAACTAAAAATCATAAAAAGGGGTTAAAGAACGAATTTTGTACGAAATAAGGAACAAGCATGGGAAACGCACAAAACGCTCGCCCTTCAGCGGGATAAAATTATGCGCGATGACGCACGCGCGCGCGCGCATTCAATACAGTGGGATCCCGATCTGTCTTGTTGTGCAATACGAATAACACGCCGGACGACCTTGCTGGGCCGACGTCTCACCGCCTATATGTAAACATCCCTGCTTATAGTCGGTACGTTTAAGCAAATATATCGTTTCAAGGTCTGAATTCTCCGGATTCGGTTATATGGGCTTGTACAGCTAGGATCGTATTCAACAATAGCGAGTAGGGTCACGACAGCACGCGGCCCTGCGCTGCGCAAGGCCGGTCGATGACCTGACGCCACTGTAGCGCACTGTCTGAACCACCTTTCTTTTGTGCATTGATTACAATAAACGAACTGCGAATAGAGTAACCGCGAACGTGGACAATGCCTCGCCGTTACACTAGCTGTTGCGACAAAAATTCCGCCACGAATCCTTAATCGTAATCTTCTAGACGGCGAGATATAGAGTGCATTTTTCGCGTAAATATGGCATGGTTATGAGCTGCAATTAGTTTAAAATTAGTTGCAAGCACGATTTTAAATTTCTATACGAATAATATTCAATGCAATTTACTGAAGTGGTAATTCGTAGCCATTATGACTATTGAAACCAAAGTGCTTAGTTAAAACATATTGGTAACGACACTTATAATAGTGATTCCTTTAGCGTTAACGTGTTTTTTTTTTAAATTGATTTAATATAGATATTTAAATGCACAAAAGCAATTAACTATAAGCTTACATACAGTAGAGTTACAATAATGTCCAAAGCACAGTCGTCCAGCGCGTCCTTCTAAACTGACATACGTTGTGGAAATAAACACAAATCAATACAAAGAAACACTAAAATAGAGTTCCATATACATATGTAATCTGTACATTATTAATTTGCGCATAGCCAACGGGGCTATACTTTTCAAGTTTAAACTTAAAAATCTACCGACATAAACACCGTAGCTCAATTGGTTAGACCAGTGCTGTGCTGTGGATGTCGGTTCAGATCACGCCAGTTTTTATTTTTGTGAAAAGTCTAAACTTGTGTTGGTTACGTAACTATGTTTAAAACATATTGTTGTGCTTGTTTGTAATTCAATCAATATTATAAATGAGTACTCGTCTGTCCTTCGTTTTTACTTTATTCTTGATTTTTAGCAAACGGTTATCGATTATCGAATCAATGTCTTATCTTAAAGCTTTGGTAAATCGTATCTACGTCAGCAATTCTCACACAACACTAACAAAACAATGCTCAATGAGTGGACTGACAATAAATAAACGCTTGTCATCAACAATGCTTAACACATATACATTTGGCATCTGCGCAAGTAATAACATGCAACAAAACCTTGAATCCATTAGCTATAATATTTTATTAAAACCTATACTAATATTATAAAGCTACAGAGTTTGTTAGAACGTGGTAATCTCAGGACTTACTGGTACGAGTTAAAAAATATTTTTGTATAAAACATCAACTGCGACCAACAGAAGCGAAAAAACAGTTGGAAATATGGATAACGGGGAAAACTATTTATCCTTGAGAGTTTCCGTTGCGTGCGTTTCGAAAACAGTTCAAGACACAAAAAAATGTCTATGAAAGAATGATTCCGCCTATATGATATAAAAAAATGTCTGCGACGCCTGTAAATCAAATAACGTGAAAAGTAATATACTTTATACATTGTAAAAAAAACTAACATGTTTTGTGGTGGACTCGCTAAGGAAAGTATCTTACACAAGTAGACAGATTTTTGAGACACAAGAGGACATACAAACATGGTGTTCTAACATCTAAGCCAGACGCGTTGTTAAACTATTTTGACTTTGAGCATGCAGAAATCCACAGACTGTAGAAAACCGGTTTTTTATCTGTGCACGGTGGTTCAGTTTAATTTAATATAAACTTCCAAACAAAGTCTAACAGGTTTAATGACGAAATATGTATCATTTTGAGATGCGATTCAAGCTCTGCGACATCATTAAATGCGGCTACTATGTAACAGTAAATTTTGCGTTTTAAACAATTATAATTGTCATGCGCTTGAGTCATACCGCACTAAATACGAATAAGTTTCATGTCCTGTATTAAGAACTGTAAATGTACTTATAATCTTAGTGATACTACTCGTACAATACATTCATAATAAAATGCGTGCAACAATCTCTTTGTGACCGACGCAAGTGTAATTGTTGCAAAGTGCCGTTATGCGACAACAAAGACGACATGCTAAGCGATTTATTTAAATAGTTTAGATTTTATTGTACAAATGTGATTATGGAGGTCAGGGCATACAAGCTCGCAAAAGTAGAGGTGAAAGTTAGGCTTTTTAAATACAACACTTTAACGGTTTCAAACGCGATATATATTAGTTAAACTATTTAACTATTAAAACTTATAATACATTTTACGATTAGGTAGTGAGGCCTATAGTTATAATTATAATGAAGTGAAAACCTATTTGTTGTTGTTGTTTATTTTTTTAGTTGGGTTAGTAATAATTCGAGTTTGAATTTTGTGTCGTATATTAGTCCGTGTTAGTCAATGTACAATACGTCGGGAAACCGTACCTCATCACAAATAAGTAAGATGGAGGGAGAGCTGATGATATTAATTGTTTTGTTTTTGTATAAAATCGCAATAAATTGTAATACCTACTTTTATTTACTATACAATGGTAATGTTTTAATTCAGTTGGCAGTACCAAAACAAGTATTTTGATTATTATTTGGTAACAGCTTATAAAAAACTTAAATGTCTCAAGAAAGCAGAAACATCTAATAAACAAACAGGTTGCAAATTGGCTATGTTGCATAACATATCAAACACCTTTCACATAATATTAAAAATAGCTTTCTAGAGCTCATTGATACATAATTAGATAAAACGTATTAAGATTTTATCGATATGGCGCTTAACTGAGCACAGCGATTTGCATAACATTAATATAACGAGGAAATTTCCAACGCAAGTTATCTATTAGCAAGTCAAGTTGACACCTGAAAATGAGGCTGTGAAACGATTGATTGTAAACATCTTTGCTCTAAGTGGTTGGAGGGTACATATTATACAGACAATCTATACAGAAGATTTCCTATATATGGGAAAGACGAATGGGGAAAATCGGAAGTAAAATTCTTCTTAAGTTCCGAAAAACTGGGTATTTGTTTACAAAAAAAATAATTATCTACGATAATCACAAATATACATTATATCCACATATCGCTATAGAAAATTCTCGTGTCAACATCTTGGCGAAATAGCAACCCTGTTTCTCCGAAACGGCTACACTGATTTTAAAATTTTATACACACTAAAATCGGTTACCCCCCCCCCCATTATACCCCCCAAATCATAGGTTATATATATTATTCAACCCTATCATTTTTGTTTTTTATATGTGCCATATGTACACCGCTAAATGTTTACATTCTTCGATCTTTGTATATTTACTTTCCTTCATAGGTCAGAGCGGTTCATGCCCGTTCTACTCATATACACTCCATATATGTACTCCATCTTGATACATACACTAAGTAGACTTTTATTCCACACTAGTCTATATTGATATAATAATTTAAAATCGTGAAGTTTGATTAAAGGTCTAGCAAATAACGTACGAAGAAGTAAAAAATCTTTTTAATTAGCTAAATGAAACACGAGTTACACAAGTTACCAAATAAGTACAGATAGCATACTAAAATAATCCACACTTAATTTACCATGTATTCTGACGGCGGTAACGAAAAGGCTCCGTTCATAAAGCACCGTTCCTAATTCAAATTAATTTATAACAAGTGTTATTGTGTAAGGTCGGTCGTTCACATCGCCCGCGCTTAAGCACTCCTCTAAGCTACTGTAGCGCACTTTGATAAATATTTGAGAAAGATAAAACAACAGCCTTGTACACTGTTTTCATTATTAAATAAAACAATAACACACAAAATATACAAGATTTTTTTAACTGAAACTTGATGTTTTAAGTAAGTTATAAAGAATAATATTTAAGTATTGTAACAAGACATAAAAAATAAAAATAACAGTATATTTATATTCTAACTATCACAAAAATTATTTTAACTATGGGCCGGCGTTTGCGATGCTTTGCAGCAGTGGTCACGCCTAAGGTCGGGCCGTAGTTAAAATAATTCTTGTATATGTATATCGCCATTTAAACCGTTAAGTGTTTTATTTTAATCTACTCGCGCAGACAGTATTTGTAACAAAAAACTAAGCAACTTTTGATCGAATTTAATTTACCTTGAATACGATAACTAGAAAACAAACGTGCAATTCTGTCTAGTTAAGTAAAGTCTGTAGTTTACGCGAGTATTTTATTTATCTAGCTCTATAGTATCTCTAAACCAACGTAACTAAACGTAATAAAATATCAATTACGGCAGACCCTGGGTTTGAATTAAGCGGCTGTGGCATCTCTATTGCCCTCTCGAGTCAGATTTAGAGCCACAAACTGCACTTTCAATTAATTACGCGGCTATCCCGTCGGTTGTTAGTCGCCACGAGCCAAAACTAATTCTAGACTACGATTTTTTGTATATTATTTTTAGATGTTTGCAGCGTGCTATGCGGTTCGATCCAATTTCTGTGCTGCTGATGGAGCAATTTATTTTCAAGCCACTAGTTGGATTGCCTTTCATATTGTCGCCAAAAATGTATTTTGTATTTAAGTATTACCGAATCCCCCGTCTCACGTTTACGTAAACGTAATAAATAACAGGTATTATTATTTTGAAAGAACCTACCAATGAGTTCTAGTTAGCTTTCATAAAGTTAAATAAAAACTAGGATATAATTTGGAATATTCTTAGCAAAATCTTTTTTATAAAGCAGGACAGACAAGTATGACGCTTGATGGAAGGTGAAATCCATATTGCGCTGTCGACCTATTGTTAATGTGGATATTCTGAAATCCAGACTGAAAGCGAAATGCGATTCAACTTCAAGGCTATTTCATCTGTTGATGGCGGTTCGTGACCCGGGCGAAATTTCGATATTCCTATCACCACCCATTTTATCCCGATTTCCAGACGACATCCAATATGTTTCAGAAAAATCATCAATCGTTTAAAACATCTTGGTCCCGATGGGGATCGAATCTACGACCCGTTGTTTATCAGCAACACATTGCTACCATTAAACATCTACAGCAAAAAAAAAAGCACGACACGAACCTCCGACCATTTTAATCAATTCTGCATTCGTTTTTAAATATATTATATTGATTCTAAAGAAAGAGACGGAAGCAGGTCGAGGAAGGTTCAATTCCTAACGAAAATATACTGCATTTTTAACACCGTCCACTCGTCGGAGGTCACTTACCTCGCACATTTGTAGCTGAAACAATCTCCGCTCTTTTTCCATTTCATCTGCGATCTCGGCGGGCGTCACCTCGCTGCGTATGAGGCCGGCTTCCTTCGCCTGCGACTTCTTCTCCTTCTCAATTTTCAGGTACTTGGACTCGTAGTCTTTGGACGCCTTGTCGAAGGGCCTCTTGAGATCACCTTTGACGCCCCGCAGATCTCCTTTTAGAAGGCTGTCCACGGGAAACATTACTATGTTGTTGATGTTCTGCATCTAGAAAGGAATAGATTTTGTATTCAAAACAATCGCAGATAACAAACTAGGAATAAAAACGACCTGTCATTACCATACATAAGATTTAACGTTATAAGACCTGATCTGTTTTAAACCGTTAAAGTGTATTAATTAAAACACTGATCAACTTCTCCTGGTGCCACCCACTCGTGTACGGTGAAACGTCGAGGACCATTCTCTAATTACGACTGCGGAATAGTTGGAAAAGCTAAGTAGTTCCACGTATATACTAAACTAAGCTAATCTACAGAGGAAAACCATAATAGTGTGGTGCCTTAACATTAGAATGGTAGTACGTTGCACAAGACGCAGCATTCCGCGAGTGTCGGCATCACTACAGCCTGGTCTCTTAGATTGCTTCATTTCTATGTATTTGTATATATTATTATATGTATTTACAATGCCTATTTATATGTTTTGCGCGTAGGTTTATACTTAGATATGTACACATTAAACACAATTGACAATGACCCTCTTTTATCGTGTTAAAGGTCCTCCTGGTATGGTCTGAAGGCTAGACATTAATTTAGTGAAGACTTGTGGGAACATATTTCTGTGTCCGTTTCACTGACCGGTTTTACTAAAGGCAACTAGTTGATAAGACTTCTGTGCTTTGTCTGACCGAAGCAGTTTATTATTTCCTCGGGCTTCTAACCCGGGACTTTCGCATTTAACGTAATGCTAGAAATAACAACGTTCGACCATTAAACTACAGGACAGTCTTTTATATAGGTTAAACTATTTATTTAGTTACCGTTGCTAGAAGGGTCACCAGCTATCCTACTATTTGAGTGCATATAAGTATTGTAAAATATCGTCGTTCGATTGTCTTTCGGCGACAGTACTAAGTGGAAAGTCTATTGAAAGTTGGCTATTGTAAAACCAATGAGGCGGACACGGCAATGGCAAAAGGAACGAGGGACAAAGGGTATACACAATGAAACCCTCCCGCAGTTCACAATGTTAATTATAATAGGGATATTTGAGACTTGTAACGTTCATTGCCTTATGGTCAATGGAACGCCACATTACCTTGTAACGACCATATGCTACAGTATTTTCTTATAAATATAACGCTATAATTACCAAAAGTAGTTTAAATATACTGTACGTAGTTAGTAAGCCTTATTAAATAAATAAATAAACAATATGTATATTTCAGAAAAAATTGAAATTCATTTCAAGTTGAAGTTCACATATAATATGAATACAACAAAAAAAAATGGGTTAGAATCAAACTACATAAACAAGAAAAATTAACAACACGAGGTTTTCCTCCACAACAAAGTGCTGTGCTGCAACAACAGAGCTGCTGCTACCGTCGATTTTCAGTGATGCCAGAGATGAGTTTTAAGATAAGTTTATCTCAATAGGTAGGTACAATAAATTTAATAGTTGTTAAAATAACTAAAGCGTATTGTCGATGTAATTATAAGTATTGGCAAAACATAAATTATTGGAGCGCGGATATTCCTAGTGTCTTATATTTTAGGGTCTTTATGAAAGATTACATATTAAATTTTAATAAACTTATGTCTTTAAATATTGATAATGACGGTAATAACAAATTTGGAATAACATACCTACTACTTATTATGCTAAGAGAAATATGACGCGGGGTGGTAACATTTTTGAAGAATGACTCACATATATGATTTTACAAGTTGCTTTATATTCTTGCCGACATAATATAGCTCATAAACAGAAAGAAATCCTTAGTATTGAAAATTAATTCGACAAGGTAGAATCCATCTGTGGACGTATTTCCTACCTATCTATATATCTATTCATGAAGAACAAAAGATAACCTTTGTCTTATCTGGGCGTTGTGTCTTGATGGTTGTTCGTTGTATGTCAAATCGCTTCGTTACGTTACGCGTTCATATTACCTGACTCCTCATTTCAATTATACATAGTCGAACTAAGTTTAGTTTAGGTTTTTGACGTACTAGTCGGTCTTATGGTAGCAATCTAAGGAGGATCAACGCGTTGTGGGTTTCTACATCGGGTCCTGCAATGCGGGTACGGTGAACTTCGTCGGGAAATGTATTTTTTTTTAATTTATAACCATCCAGGTAGGGATATGATTATTTCGTCCGGGTCACGTACCACTGTCGAAAAAGCCGTGAAGTTAATTCGCAGTTCAGAGCCCGTCTGTGGATTTAAGAATATTCAAAGCAAAAATGGGTCAATAGGTTTCTATCGAGATGTTATATATTTTACCGACCATCAAGTGAACAAAGCAGGTTTGTTCGTATATCATCATAAACAAAAAAAATTTAAACTTTCTGCCATCCAGTATTAAAATATGTTAAGAAAAAAAATTACATTTATCGTTGAAACGGATGATGGACACGTTCAAAATCGAATCCACGACCCGATGATTATTAGCTATACTGTCGCTTCAAAACTGTAATATTTTTCACATGTTATTCCACATGAAGGCACTATATAATTTAAAAATCGATTTTTAAAATATACAGTCGCTGTTGGATCAAAAGTCAAAGCTTTAAAGCGGAGATACATAGATTGTGGCCCCCGACGAAACGTTACTCAAATTAATAAATTATTTATTGCCTTTAATTAAAAGCCGCTAGAAGTAATTAAATATTACTTCTAGCGGCCTGTTATCAGTTCATGGTTTGCCTGAGTAACTCCTAGTCTTAATAAGTGTGTCCCTGCTTTTAAAGCTCAGTTATCATGTTTCCCGTACCAATAAACTGCAACTTAATCTAAGACTGACCCCTCCGAGTTACAAAAGGAAGAGCTAGCTCAAAACGGAAGTTGGCAACGTCGAGCACGCTAACTTGTCCGTGACTTGACCGGTCAACACATTGTATTATAAAACTCATAAATGACACCCTGGTATTTATTAATTAATAACGGAAACCATTATCAACACAAAGTTGTGTTCGTTTCTACTTATTGCCAGTAAGCAACGGTTTAAAGACAATTATTTCTCAAAAAAAGATAATAATAATAATAATAATAAAACACTTTATTGCACAAACAAATAATATACAGATATAGTAAAACTAAAATAATTATTTACATAAAAAAGTTAGTGCAAAGGCGGCCTTATCGCCTATGGCGATTTCTTCCAGGCAACCTTTGTATAAAGAAAAGGAAAACAAAATAACAATAAATGAGTAAAAGTCAACGAGAATGAGAGAGAATATGCAATAAATTGTAAAATACATTGATATCAGAACTAACACAACAAAAAACGTTAACACACTAAATATTAAAAACTTAAGATTTAATTTTGATTTTACAAAGATGCAACTTTATAAATAATAAAAGTATAAGCCAATAACATCAAGACTGGACAATACTTTCAAGAAAATGTTGTTTGATTTTGGTCTTGAAGGAGTCAAGACTTTGTGAGAGCCTAATCGCGGGTGGGAGCTTATTCCATAGGCGAACAGCCTGAACAGAAAAAGAAGAGTCATAGCATTTAGATGAATGGGCAGGCATAGAAAGGAGACGGTTGTATGAGGAACGAAGGTCAAGTTCATGGGAAGAACCCATAAATATAAACCTTTGTTTAAGATAGGTAGGAGTGCGAGGATCGAAGAGAATAGAGAAAAGAAGACAGAGGATGTGAGTGTTTCGTCGTAGTCTAATAGGCAACCAATTAAGTTTAGCACGGAATTCTGACACGTGGTCGTATTTCCGGAGACCATAAATAAATCTAATTGCAAAATTTTGAAGCCTCTCCAACTTATTTACTTGTTCCTCAGTTAGATCTAAATAACAAACATCGGCATAGTCGAGTAAGGATAACAACAATGACTCCGCAAGCAATATTTTTGTAGGAATTGGCAAAAAGTTTTGTAGACGGCGCAGCATATTTGCAACGCCGTATACTTTTCTACTAACTTTGTTAATCTGATCATTCCATGACAGAGTGGCATCAATATAGATCCCAAGATTCTTAACCGACTTACTATAAGGAATCTTGGTACCATGTATGCTTATAAGAGGTAGATTGTTCCAATCTACTTTCGACAGTTGTTGGGGACTTCCAATAATAATTGCCTGCGTTTTGATCGGATTTATTAAAAGGCCGTGTGAATTTGCCCAATCTACAATTACTTGAGTATCGGTGTTAATTAATTTGATCCCATCTAAGATGTTTTCTAAAGAACAGTGAGTGTAGATTTGGAGATCGTCGGCATATAAGTGATGACGACACGAGAATAGAGAGGAGATTGAATTTATAAAGATGGAAAAGAGGAGAGGAGATAATATACCACCCTGAGGTACACCGGAAGTAACAGTGCTCCACGAAGAGGTAGTATCACCCACCCGAATGCACTGCTGGCGGCCCCTTAGATAGTTATTAAACCAATTAAGAACTGTAGTCGAGACGTTAAGAGAGCGTAATTGCGCTAGTAAAACATCAAAATCAACCGTATTAAAAGCGTTAGAAAAATCAACCAGAGTCAAAATTGTAACTTGTCTATCATCTATAGCCATTCGGATATCATCAGTTACCCTTAGCAATGCAGTAATCGTGCTATGACCAGCTCGAAAGCCTGATTGATGAGAATTGAAAAGAGAGTTCTTGTTGAGGAAGAGACAAAGCTGTTGATGTATTAATTTTTCCAAGATTTTAGAAAGGAAGGGTAGAATTGAAATAGGGCGAAAATCGTTTGAGTTAGTAGGAATATTAACTTTTGGGAGAGGAATAATGTAGGCTTTTTTCCAGATGAGAGGAAACTCTCCTGTACGTATGGAATGGTTCAGGATATGTGTTAAGATAGGGTATATTACGTCAAGAATAGGAAGAATCATAGCACGACCAATGCTATCACAGCCCAAGGCATTAGAAGTAACCGACATGACAATTCTCTTAACGTCTTCATCCGTGAAATTAGAGAAGCAAAACTGAGGATAGCCAGGTTTAGGGAGCGAATAGAGAAAATTTAGAGTTTCAGCTTTTTTAGAGGGATCGAAAGTTTTAGGAGAAGAAG